TGTTTTGTTTTTGTAATATCTTTTTTTCCTATCTAACAAGAGGTTGTTATTGTTCATTGCCCTGCATTGGATGGTTATGCAGTAAGCCAGTAAGATGCTTCTGTGAACAAGCAAACATTGATGTTTAGATCCTTTACAACAGTACATGTAAATATCATTTCACTTATTTGAAATTCCACACACCCAGTTCATATATATGAGGGTATCTTGAGAAGATCAGTTCTGCCACTGTTGTTGTTGGAGACAGAATTGAACGAGCTCTTCCTTTGTATCATCTTTCTTATATTGATCAGTGATAGTTGTTGCTGCTTTTAGCCCTCGTTTCCGTGAGAACTTGTTCAGAGTGTAGAAAAGAAAAATATGTGGCTATAGAAGCATATATGCCATTCAGTAAAACATCAAAGAAAAATAACTTTGAAATCTATATATTTATTGACTGTGCACCTATTCCATCTTCCAAGTAACTTCTGTGGGGTCATCCTGATCAGAAGTTTATCCACCTAAAGAAAAATTAATTTTATCCGAACTTCATTTCATTTATTATGTTCTCTCACATTTTTTCATTGTATTTATACATGAGGATTTTTTTGTTTCTCTTGTTTATTTTGAAAGTGAGTACCAGTTTTGAATAGGCATTTTCTTTGACCATTTGATAGTGAGTTGAAAGAATATTTTCTCATTTCCAAGTTCCTCGCTACCCCCTCTCATGTTTGAAGATTATTCTATTCCTTTTGTGAATTCTCTTCATGTCCTGAAGAGGAGGTTTCTGCACCCTATTATGCTTCATGTCCTTTATTCAAAAATTAGTTTGATGCCTGGCTGATTAGTGCTGAATCAGATCTAGCACAGAATTACATTTCACAGCATTACCATTATGAGTATGTTTATACAGTTGTTGAGTACCTTTAATTGAATCAGCAGATTGTCTCGTCTACCCTTTGTGTATTAGTTATCCTTCCTTATGGTGTTTTGATTGAATAGAAGCAGATCAGGAGCCTTTGTTGTTGGTCCACTCTAATCCCAACCCTTTGTATGATATTTTTGTCATCTAGATTTTTATAGATGGTTATGTTGTATGTTCATATTCATATGTTGGCTCGGAGATCCCTTTTGTGGCTTCTACTTTATCATGAAGATTGTCGACAAGGATTGAGAAGACATAATTGCTTACTAATTAGATTTCCACAGATGGTTATGTTGTATGTTCATATTCATATGTTGGCTCGCAGATCCCTTTTCTGGCTTCTACTTTATCATGAAGATTGTCGACAAGGATTGATAAGAGATAATTGCTTACTAATTGCTCGTGTGTTTTTCATCTCAGTGCTTCTCGGTGCCCTTCATAAAGAACTTTCTCCCCGGATTGTCTATCAAATCTCCAGTTGGAAATATCAGTCTACAGGCCCGTCTGATAAAATTAACCTTTAACAACCAACTGGATGATTAGCTGCTCCATCATGCTACATACGCCTCTTTGTTGAGTGTTTTTCCCCGTTTTCTTGGAGAGTGCTACCTTTGCAATGGTTTGGCCATAAATCTGTTGTCCGCACAAGTAGTACTGCTAATTTGCCCTTTTTAATGACGATTTATGCTTTCCGTACGCAAGTACTTTATTTGCAGTTTTGCATTAGCCAAATACTGAACTTCAGTGGGAGACATTCACTGTTTTTCAGATTTGATGGAGAAACAAAAAATATGCCGCCAATCGGCGTAATTTTATAACCGTTCTCGTCATCTGAGTAACATCCGAAATGGCTAATCTGATCGGTTTTGCTGCTTGTGTAGAACCGACGACAAGCTTGTTGGCGGGCATCTGGCAGGATCGGTGAACATCCTCTACATGTACAATACCAGCTCAGGCAATTATTAGAACCCTGTCAGTTAGTTAAGCTCTTGTGATCATTGAAAGGGAGGGGGGATTAAGGTGTTTCCATCAACAACCATTTATTGGTCGAGTGGACTCAGAACTGGTTTCGTACTGAAAAATCAGGGTTGGCATCATGATAACAAGCATGGTCACCTTAAGTCTCAACTCTGAGCCTCCTCTTGGAAAAAATGTCCGCATTCCAAACAAGTCCATTTACAGACTCTAAGCCTCCTCTATGAGCACCAAGTAGACACTCTCTTTGCTATGTTTTGGCACAAAGAGCCAGACATCAAGTACTACGTGTGCACAATCAACAAGACATTTGTCAAACCAGGCCAGCGCATGGTATGCTCAAATGCACAGCCTATTCAATGTTTACTAACTTCATAATGTAGCAAGTTGTATCTCCATACCACACAACTCCCACTTTTTATTGTTTTTTAACAGAAAAGATGCTCATTTATTCTAACCGAGTATCTGTGCTTTTAACCTTATCTTTTCAACACCACTACTAATGCTTTAATGCCATCCGCACACTGTATATGAAAATGATTAATTTGCCTTGTGTAAGCCCAATTTTCTTTCATCGCCATTCTTTACCACTCTCATACTTAGTTATACTCAATCAGATTCATTGAACTCGCTTTTACAATATTACTTGTTTTTTCTTAGAGCTCTATAATCTACTGTAGTCGACCATTCAATTACAAGCACATCTATTTTTAGTTCTTCATCTTCCTTTACTACTTCACTCTTTTCATGAGCTTCACCAGCCATTTTACAGAATATAAAATGTTGTTTTCTTATGCATTTTAATTACCTTTACAGCTGTAACTTTGTGATGATACAAACGAAAGTTGCACATATTTTCCTATTTATACTATTGTTTTATCCATGCTTAAAATATAACAAATCACATTCTGTTCATACTACTTAACAGTCAGCAGTTTACTTATGTTACAAATACCAATTATATTCCCTTTCTCACCTGATCAACACCTGATTTGTTGTTATTTTTCTCCTACCACTTACGAAATTTCTACTTTGCCTTTTCTAGCTTACCATTTTTTCATTCATTTGTTCTCTGTTCATACACTAAGCTGTACATACTCAAATCGTCAATTGCACACCAGAAATATTGACTTCTCTTTGCTCTTTCATGAGCCATTTTACTTGACCATTCAGAATGTTGGGTCCTCAAGACGTGTAGTGAATAACAGTACTTTGCTAACACCATTAATATCATGAATATCCATAGAACACGCTCTTATCTTCCATATCACACAACAATTTCTGTCTATGTAAATAACTTACTTTCTTCTACCAGTATTTTCAGGTTAACTATACTGAAGAGAACTTGCAGGACTACATTGATCCAAACAATGATACACTCATGTTCAGACTTGCAGACCGCCATCTGCTCGCCGAATGTTGCATCATGCTAGGAATGGACAAAAGGGCCACTATAACCACCAACTGGCCTGAGTTTCGTCGCCGCGCCAACATTCGCGAGGGAGACATCTGTGCATTTCGTTTCAGGATAACTTCAAAGCGCAGCCTAGTCCTCACCGTGCACTGCCTCTAGATGCACCATCGAAGATGATGCAGCCTCTGTGTCAATATAATTTAGCACTAAGTACTCTTAATTATGTTATATCCTGTGATAACCTATCGGTTGCTTTTGGGTCCTCTTATCACATGCTTTTCAAGACACTAAACCTACGTTGCTGCTTATGTTAAGTGCACTATTGTCAGTCAGATGTTTCATGTTCAGATCCATAATGAGCTTTCTTTGTAAAGTATATATTTCTATTTTTGCTGCTAAGTTTCTTAGCTAAAGCAATCATCCCAAGTGCTAATTAGAATAGAAAAGAGTGTTAAAGGGGCGAGTACAACCAGGCACCGCTCAGCTACCCCTCAAGAGGCGCGCCACGGGCGCGCCCCAACACCTAGTGATGTTATAATTCGATGTGAACCAAGGGCAATTCGCTCGAGTTCTGATCTATGAAATAGATGCCATCAGGAAGGTGATGCCTTCAATTCATCATGTTCTTTGCGTGCCTAATTATGCTCTCATCCTCTTTTGTTGTATTCACAGTGTTTTTTCTGGCCAATGGTTTGTGAATCTTTGCAAGAGGATTATCAGCCCCCCAGTGACATTTGTGAAAAAAATATCATTCAAAGCATGGTGTTCTTTGCTGTTATTGTTCCTAATTTAAAGGGGACTGAGATTTCTACCTAGGAAATTTTAGTGGGGTTACCTTCAAATGATCGGACATCTGAAATAAATCTATTACTAAGACAAAGACATTGTGTTGTTTTTCATAAATTTTTTGAACAGTTTTGGAAGAAGCAAGCATGCAATGTTGATGAAGCCCAGTCGTTGACACTCCGGTATGAACCGAGGGCAGACCATCTCGCCTCTGAAACTGATCTTACATGCAAAGCTCTTGAGCAGCGGCTGATCAATTTAATGTTGTGATAGTAATAAGAGTTGTCGGTACTTCTTCTTTCCTGTACTATAAATACAAACATACGTGCTACACTACTTTTGTACAAACTATAATGGGTGTATAATGGATCTGAGCTCATAATTTCTCTGCTGCCTCTGTGTTTATATACATTCTTGCTTTCCAGCAAATATCAATCCACACACAAGTACAATCACTTTGTGGACACCAGCTCGTATAATCTTACTATTTCTAGGCTTATCCATCTCACTTATTGATACATATGAATAGCATTACTAGGAATGCTCATGTCCATGAGCAAATGAGTGAATGTCATAATGTGGACCAAACGAGCTAGCTCAATGGGCGGCAGCAAACCTTGCACCGCAGATGAACGCCTCAAGACGCGCGCAATAGCGCGCCCCAACCCCTAGTTGGCAAGCAAGAACCGGCCCGTGTGCACGGGCAACGCGAGGACACCAACGCCGCCTCCCCTACTGCGGCGCCGAGCTGTGGGGCAGCGCAGGGCGGCTCAGGTGTCTCGTCGCCACCGCCTCACTCTCCTCCGCCCGTTGATGAGCAGGCCGGGGGCGGAAGCCGCAAAGCTGGGAAATCGAGCTCCGTGGCGAGGGAGGGCGGCTCCGGAGTCTCCTCGCCATCACGCCCCCCTGCTCCGCCCGTCGATGGGCAGGCCGAGGGCTGAATCTTCGAAGCCGGAGGATCGAGTTCCGCTGCTGCGCACGCCAGGAGCAGGTGATGGAGCGTCTCTTGCGCTTGATATGTCGCGATCTGCTGTGTTTTCTTTGCAGATATCCGATCTCGACTTAGCGATTCTTGGTTTCTTTCGAATAGGCTGGATTGCCGAAGGCCAAGAAGACGTTCTTGAGCAAGATAATCAGCTTCAGCAAGAACAAGGTATAGCCTGAATCTCGTGTTTCTTGATTACACTGATTCTTTGCTCTTCTTTGTGCATTCTTGTGCCAATTTTTGTGTTCGGGATGTGGAATTTGTGACCTCAGAGTTCGTGTGGAATGTTGGTAAAAGGGATGAAACTTTTGGGCGAATGTTGGGGCCAATCTGGTTTTATTATACGTGCAGATTAGGCAAATCCTGATTATTACTACGTGCTCTTCTTGTCATCTTGGAATATGGAGGCAAGTGAACAACCTCTCTGTGATTAGTCAAAAACTCGAATATGTTTAAGATTTGGGTGCTGGTGCCTGTATCCATTCATTCTTATATCGTGTGGTAGCATATTCATCGCAGTGTACAGCGTTGGAAAACACTGGGAATATGTCTTTGTTTTAGGCATGCATATCTTGATCAGTGCTCCTGTGAAATTTTAGTTAGAAGTCCTAAAGCCAAAGGTAAGAGGTTTTAATGTAAATGGATGGTGTTATAGGCATAGTTAATTCATATGATTATTCAGGGTTGCTTACCTGGACATGATTCCCGTAGATCATTGGTCATTCACATGCAAAATCACTGACCACCGCCCACAAAATAAATAATTAAATTCACTGACCACTTACTCTGATTTTGGTCTAAAAGCTGTGATGTTTGGTTGGTTGGTACCTGAAACCGTCTTGGAAGCCTCACAACATGATTCTTGTAAACAGTTGCTAAAGTAAGATGTTTTGGATTTTGCAGCATCAGTTGTGTGATACTATTATTAGATTCTTCAAAAACTCCAGCTCTCATTCCCCTATTTTGTATTCTTAAATCCTGGCTGTGATGTTTTAGTCTGTACAATTACTTATAAGTTTGGCAAGTTATATATGGATCTTAACCACAGGCGTGGAATATGATTTCGTGGAATATGCTTCTTACTTTCTTGTCTGAATGCTTAATAGTATGTTAACTTTGCAATGTGATGGAACAATAGACCTTATACCCTTGAGTGTATGAAACATTGCACATATTTCTCTATTTTTTTACTCAACAACAGCCAATCAATGTCAATGAAGGTTTCTTACATTTATTAGTAGTTCCAACCAATTCCGGAGAACGTGCAAACGAGAAAAGCAGAAGCAAAACAAAATCTGGATCACGTTTTAGATCTGTTGCTGCACAACAAAATTTCCATCAGGCTTTAGATCTGTTATTTCCTAGTTCTAATCAGCATAAACTGAATCCTCTTATCTGCCTGCGCAGTGCAGGCAATTTCTTTCGAGGGCTCCCTTGATTATTGTGCTGAACAGATTCGTGCAATTCATTTACATGAAAGAGTAGATCCTGTGAATGCGTTGGACTTTCGTGGTCTCTACTCAGACTTTAGGCCAGTGAAAATTGACGGGGAGTGTTTCTACAGGAGCTTCATAATTTCCTACCTTGAAATTGTCCTTCTCCCTATTCCTTAGTACACTATAGGATGCATGCTCCCTGATCTAACTATCTTTGTTTATGCCGATGTACGACAGGAGCAAGTTCTTGATAGGCAAGACACAAATGAGGAAGAATGCCTCCTTGCAGCTATTGAAGAGGTGGCTGACGAGGAACATGCATGTTTCTCTGAATTTTCTAGTAGCCACAAAGTAAGTTCCTGACTTTTTCCACAATTGTGTTTTTTCTTGGATAAATATATTCGTAAGGGACAATTCTCTTCAAGTTACTGTACATGTCAAAATGGATTCAGCTGTCTAACCATCATTGTTGTATCATTTGAAGGAGATGCACAATTGCTTAGCAGTAGTGACATGGCATTGCAGTTTACGCCCTGTTGACGCAAACTCAAGTCTGAAGCTTATTATAATATTACAACCTGAAACCCAACTTAACAAAAATGCACCTTAAGTTTATTTGTAAGGGATACTAGTGTGACAATGTAAACCGCAAGAGTATAATTCTATGCTTCATTGAACACTGAAATGCTTCAGACCTGCCGCTTCTCATGATGTAGCCATCTTAACATTCTGTTACTAAGTATTCATACTCTTTAACTATTTTATAGTACTCCTAGATTGTTAATAACTGAAGTTTTTCAGGCGATTTGTTACCCTAGTTATGTTTGTCAATATCTTGTTATTTAGTATCAATAGTGTATGTAAGCACTTTTGTAACCGACGGTATCGCCTTACAGAGCTGTATGGAATGGTTACCAAATGCGATATTTTAACTCACGGATTGTTTCAGGCATTTAAGGAGTTGATAAAGAAAGTAAAGAGCTGGAAGAAAAAATGCAGATTGATCCCCGTATTAACTGAGAGGTTTTTGATATGTTTGGTTTTCTGCAATTCCGGCCAAGTATTGTGGCCGAATGCTTCCATCTCACTGACTTAATCTGCTTCTTTGTCAGATACCTTAAGCGGAAACTTCTCAAGTTCTTCAGCACTTACGATCGAACAGAAGACAGCGAGAAAACACTTCTCAACTTATCCTTCAAAGTCATCAACCTATCTTTCCTTCAGTTCATCCCAATTAATGTTTCTGACACATTTTTGGTGGTTAGTTCTTGTTTTCCTCAGGTTAGTAGCAGCTATCTGGTTATGCTCGCACATGGCGGACTATGAAGAGGTTATACCTGGACTTGGAGAAAATGACAGTGTGACAGATGTGAGTATCAGCATATCTTCCTTCACATCATGTCATCCTGAATTTCCGATCCATTAGTTTCAACGTGCTGATTCAGTAGTAGACTGGCTTCTTTCGACACTTTTCAAGAACATCAACATTTGTCATGAAAATTTGTGCCCTTTTGCTTACATCAGCACAGGCTCTAGTTTCTGCATGGCGCTACAAGTATTCGGAGAGCAAAAAAATGAAATCAAACAACAGTATTATCACTTTAGAAATTGTGGTGCCTTTCAGAGTTCTGAAGCACAGCATATCTTCTCTTCATCTCCTTGATTAGCAGATAGGCAAAGGCTCGCCGTTCCACTCCTTGAGGCATTCCAACAGCGCGTCGATGTGCTTACCCTGGTTCATGGCAATAAACACCTTGTCCACCTCCTCCCCAGGTGACCGCGTCTTCTCTCCGGTCAAGTACACCGTTCCCAGCTCCTCGCGCATGAACCGGTACAGTGGGTATGATCGGCAGTCAGTGATACGGTTCGGTTCTGCAGCAGTGCCATTCTCCACTGCACCTCTAGCAGCCTCAACCTCCTGAGGCAGTGTCGCGCAGAGCTCCTGCTCAAATTTGGCAACCTTGGCAAACACCGAGGTCTCCACATTGCGCTCAGCCTCACCGTTGGCCAGGGCGTGCTCCACCAGCACCGCGCGCATCTTCTTCATGAGAGGGTAGTTGGCGCTGCAAGGGTCGTCCGCGTATGCAAACACCGCCTCGCGGTCAATTGTTTGGAGCAGGTCCTTCTCACAAAAACGTGCGTTGTGGAGGCCACCCATGTCATTTGTGATCAGGGTCTTCCTGGCCACTCTTGTGACACAATTCTTGACGGCGTTCTTGACATTCTCCTCGAGGTGGCGCAGGTCGATGGCTTGGCACAGCGCAACCAAAAATGTAGAGGACATGAGCTTCAGAATGTCGATGGCCTCGGCAGTCTTCCGAGCCGAGATTAATCCGAGGGAGTTAACGTCTTGGTTGTGTTGCTCCGCACTCTGGACATGGTTGGTCACAGGGTTGCCCAAGAATTGGAGCTCCGAGCAGTATGAAGCCATGGCAATCTCGGCACCCTTGAAGCCATAGTCCAGGCTTGGGTTGCGGCCACCTGAGAGGTTGGAGGGCAAACCATTGTTGTAGAAGTCATTCACTAGCTCCGAGAACTGGGCAAACATGAGCTTGCCGATCGCAGCAACGGCAAGCCTCGTGTTGTCCATCGACACACCGATGGGTGTGCCTTGGAAGTTGCCACCGTGGATTGCCTTTCCACGAGATACGTCAATGAGTGGGTTGTCATTGACGGAGTTGATCTCGCGCTCGATCGACTTCGTCGCTGCACGGATGACCTCAATTTGTGGCCCAAGCCATTGCGGCGATGTGCGGAGAGCATATCTGTCTTGCTTTGGCTTCATCAATGGGTCGAGCTCACCAAGCTTCTTTGTGAGCATCATGTAGGAGCTGCCCTCCAGGATGTGCTCCATGATTGCCGCGGCCTCGATCTGTCCAGGGTGGTGCTTCAGCTTGTGTGTCAGATGGTCAGTGTACTCTGGCTTGCCGTTCATCACTTCGCAGAACACGGCTGACAAAACTTCAGCAAGCACACCAAGGACATTCGCTTCAAAGAGAACAATGGACGCGAGTCCAGAGCCCACCGCCGTGCCATTAACCATAGCAAGGCCTTCCTTGGGTTGCAGCTCAAAGAAGCCATGCTGGATGCCCGCAATCTTAAATGCTTCAGCGGCATTAACCTTGGTGCCATCGGGAGCCACAGCCACGGCATTTGGGCGGCCGGTGACAAGTCCCGCGATGTAGGAGAGCGGGACGAGATCGCCGGAAGCGGTGATGGTGCCCCGGAGAGGCAGGCACGGTGTAACGTTGGCGTTGAGCAGCGTGGCGATGGTCTCGAGAATCTCGAAGCGGATGCCGGAGTACCCTTGGAGCAGGGTGTTGACGCGGACAAGCATCGCCGCGCGCGTGGTGGCCGCTGGCAGCACGTGACCATCGCTGCCGGTGCCGAACGCCCCGGCGTTAAGGAACCGGATGAGCTCCCTCTGCAGAGCACCGCCCTCCTTGGTCCTCCGATGGGAGGTGGCGCCGAAGCCGGTGGTGACGCCATAGCTGTCGGTGCCGTTCGCCATGCTGGTCATGACCCAGTCGCTGCTCTCCTTGACGCTGCCGCGGGCGGACTCGTTGAGCTTCACCCTGGCACCGTCGGCCGCGGCCACCGCCGCGACCTGGGCGATGGTCAAGCTGGCGCCCTCCATAACCACCACCGGCCTGCGGTACTCCTCCACCATCCGCTTGACGGCGTCCAGATGGCTCCCCGACAGCTCCTCTGCCGCCTTCCCCCAGTTGAGCGGGTCAGCACTCCGCGGCTGGGCCACGCAAATACCATCGCTGCCTTTGGCGGCCATTGGTTTGATCAACACTGTATCTTGAAGTCTCGATGGAGCTGTTGCGAGAGAGAAGGGCTCGAGTACAGAGTACAGACCGGTGGTCTTTACTGTGTCAGCTGGATTTTTGATGTGGCGACTGACTGATGAAATTGTGGAGCAGCCGTGAGAGAGAAGAGCTCGTTGGAGTAGGAGGTCGGGATGCTCTTCTTGGATGGGAATGGAGGAGAGGGAAGGATTTAAATAGGCAGTGGACTGCACGCAGGGTGGGTGGGGAACTGGGGATTGGTGTGGACTGTGACCGGGATGGTTGGGTTGACCGCCGGACTGGACTTGGCACAAAGGTTGGGTTGGTGGCCTCGTGCGTGCGGACTTTGAACAAGGCCAAGAAAGGCAGCCGCTGCGACGATGGGATACCAGTATAATACTATCATGCAGTGCAAATGTGCTGCACGCGGTTGCTGCCTGATGGTGATGGTTTTCGTCTGCCATTTTCAGGTCGCTGATTAACCATTCGGCGGCCATTTTTTATCAAGTCTGGTACAGGGATGAGCTCCCATTATTGTTCCAGTCCGTTTTAGATTTATTTCAGTTATTAGGTACTTCCTCCATTCCAAATTACTTGTCGTAGAAATGGACGTATCTAGAACTAAAATACATTTAGATACATTCATACCCGTGATAAGTAATTTGGAACGGAGGGAGTACGTCCTAGTCTGATTCTTGTATGATTAGGTGAGACTGGTCCTTCGCAAATGCATGGTATGTACTGTAGCGGAGCTCTGACTTACAGCTTGGCTTTTTGACCATGACTTGAACACGACAAGTTCACACGGGATATTCGGACGAGTTTGCTTTTTCGATAAATATATAGAGGATGATTTTATTTACTCAAAATAAAACACCAAACGGGTTTTGCATAGCCAAAACAGAAAACACAAACAATACTCAGCTTTGCATAACCAAAACACAAATCACTAACAATCTCGTAAAAAAGAAAAAACAACATATGGGCAATTCGTAGATTATGTAGCTACTCATGTTGCGTAAAACCACTTTGAACAACTGTTGGTACTCTGTTCGACGTAGTGTAGTCCACGTATGAAGACAGTGCATACCATAGAAAATAACATGCAAAGGAGAATATTTTTTGCCGTTAAAAAATCATTTGTATATAAACATAGTGACCATAATAAGGCAAACACCCCCACTTATTAGAGTACTGGACCTATTTGAAATTTCATCCAACCAGTGACCATAAATACTGGCAACACTTGCTTATACAAATTGAACGTCATCTAAATGACTGACCACGTAGAGCATGCAGGCGTACCCCTTCGCGTAGCCACCCCTTGGGTGACGCCAGCCCCTCCCCCCCTTCCCCCGAAATCCTAGCCGCCAACCCACCTTCGAGACCTCCCCTGCCGCCGTTGCCACCGGCAAGGGCCGCGGTGGCGGCGGGCCCAGCACCAAAGGCTCCTGGGCAAGTGGTCGTCGCGGGATCTCCCATGAAGCGGAGGGGCGCTTCATGTGGGGATGACAAAGGCAGCAGTTAGGGCGGCACCCCTATGTGCAGCGACGATCGAGGCTTCATTGTTGGCGGGATGGTCGACCTGGAGATGGATGGTGGTGATGGCGGCACTTCATTCACCGAGGCGGGCTGCTACGTGTGCAAACTGGCAGCAACGGTGGCTGTGGATCTGGTGCAGACCCCGCCCAGATCCATCTCGGTGTGGCCTTGGTCGGCCGGCGGCGCGAGGAGGGATTGGTGAGGGGGCGGTTGGAGTCTCCCTGCTGGCGTGCCGACGACGGCTTTCGTCTTCACGACGAGGTTCCGTACGGTGCCAGTCAACGACGAGATCGGGAGAACGCGACTTCCGGTGAAAGTCGTGCCGACTAGGGTCATGGCGGACGATGGCGGCGTCTGTGACGTCGTTCCCTTCTCGGGACGCTCCGAGGGAAACCCTAGATCTGGGTATTCCCGGATTGGACGACGATGACATCTTCGATGCCACTCTCCCTCTTGTGGGCATCATTTTTGTTGGGGAACGTAGCATGCAATTTTAAAAAAATTCCTACGATCATGCAAGATCTATCTAAGAGATGCATAGCAATGAGAGAGGGAGAGTGTGTCCACGTACCCTCGTAGACTGAAAGCGAAAGCGTTAGGTTAACGCGGTTGATGTAGTTGAAGCGAAAGCGTTAGGTTAAAGCGAAAGCGAAAGCATGCAAATCTCTATGTCTCCCACCTGGACTAGATCCCGGATGGAATTGAAGCGTCTTTTGATGTGCTTGGTTCTCTTGTGAAATCTGGATTCCTTTGCCAAGGCAATTGCACCAGTATTGTCACAAAAGATTTTCATTGGACCCGATGCACTAGGTATGACACCTAGATCGGATATGAACTCCTTCATCCAGACTCCTTCATTTGCTGCTTCCGAAGCAGCTATGTACTCCACTTCACATGTAGATCCCGCTACAACACTTTGTTTAGAACTGCACCAACTGATAGCTCCACCGTTTAATGTAAACACGTATCCGGTTTGCGATTTAGAATCGTCCGGATTAGTGTCAAAGCTTGCATCAACGTAACCTTTTACGATGAGCTCTTTGTCACCTCCATATATGAGAAACATATCCTTAGTCCTTTTCAGGTATTTCAGGATGTTCTTGACCGTTGTCTAGTGATCCACTCCTGGATCACTTTGGTACCTCTCTGCTAGACTTATAGCAAGGCACACATCAGGTCTGGTACACAGCATTGCATACA